ATGGAAGGGTGGTCAGATAGATACCCGATAATGGAAGGGTGGTCAGACAGATATCCAGTAATGGAAGGGTGGTCAGATAGATACCCGATAATGGAAGGGTGGTCAGATAGATACCCAGTAATGGAAGGGTGGTCAGACAGATACCTGGTAATGGAAGGATGGTCAGACAGATGTCCAGTAATGGGTGGATGGTCAGATAGATACCAGATAATGGAAGGGTGGTCAGATAGATACCCGATAATGGCAGGGTGGTCAGATTGATACCTGGTATTGGAAGGGTTGTCAGATGGATACCTGGTAATGGTAGGTGGTAAGATGCATATCCATTAAGGGATGGTGGCAAGATGGATACCCGGTAGGTGTTTCGGTATCTTCATCGCTATTAGGACGTGAAACACGATCAGATCAGGATGTAGCAGTTATGGAATGTATTGGAAATGTGATACACACAAAAAAGGAAGATGTGTGTTGATTAGGAGCATGTTGAGTGCCCGGGCATTGTGAAGCATAAAACGGTTGAGAAGAAACAGCATCTGTAGAATGAACTGAAGCTTTGATCCAACTGGAGCAACATGTTGGAGTTGGATAGGAGTTTGATTATAGAAGCTAAGTGTATTGACCATCACGTGTGTTTGTTCCTCATCATTGCAATCTATGGAGTGTATGGCACATCTGCTGGTGTCGATATTCAATATGTTTGTTATACAATATACGATACAAGGCCAGCTGGTAGGCTAGGCTTAGACTCTGGAGCATCATGGCCCTCGATTGAAAAATAATCAATGACACATTACAGTGTTGTACCTAACTGGTGACTGTACAGTTCTGCATGTGTTGGGAGTGCTGGGCTAATCTGTCAACAAGTATTGGAACACAAGACACCAAAACATATTGAGTGAGTCATTCATATTTGCAAAATAATTTAACAGCAAATAATATTTTTTCCCCGTCAGACATCGGTCTAGGCTTGGTATAAAGGATAATACAGATTTTTTTTCTAATTGTGAAACTGGTTCTTGACATTCCTTCCACTGTGCTGCCTGATCCTGGGGGTAGAGACTAGGCTGGGGCTGCCTGACCCTGGTGATGGAGATTGTCGGGTTGGAGCTGCCTGGCCCTGGGGATGGAGACTGTAGGGCTGGGGCTGCCTGACCCTGGGGATAGAGACTGTAGAGTTAAGGGTGCCTGCCCTGGGGATGGAGACTGGAGGGCTGGGTCTGCCTGACCCAGGGGATAGAGACTGTAGGGTTGGGTCTGCCTGACCCTTGGGATGGAGACTGTAGGGCTGGGTCTGCCTGCCTCTGAGGATGGAGACTGTAGGACTGGGGCTGCCTGGCCTTGGGGATGGAGACTTTAGGGTTGGGGCTGCCTGACCCTGGGGATGGAGACTGTATGGCTGGGGCTGCCTGACCCTGGGGATAGATACTGTAGAGTTAAGGGTGCCTGCCCTGGGGATGGAGACTGGAGGGCTGGGTCTGCCTGACCAAGGGGATAGAGACTGTAGGGTTGGGTCTGCCTGACCCCTCGGATGGAGACTGTAGGGCTGGGTCTGCCTGCCCCTGAGGATGGAGACTGTAGGGCTGGGGCTGCCTGGCCCTGGGGATGGAGGCTGTAGAGTTAAGGGTGCCTGTCCCTGGGGATGGAGACTGGAGGGCTGGGTCTGCCTGACCCAGGGGATAGAGACTGTAGGGCTGGGGCTGCCTGACCCTTGGGATAGAGACTGTAGGGCTGGGTCTGCCTGGCCCTGGGGATAGAAACTGAAGGGCAGAGACTGCCTGACCCCAGGAGTAAAGACTGTAGAGCTGGGGCTTCCTGATCCTGGGGATGGAGACTGTAGGGCAAGGACTGCCTGACCCCAGGAGTTAAGACTGTAGCGCTGGGGCTGCCTTATCCTGGGGATGGAGACTGTAGGGCAAGGACTGCCTGATACCAGGAGTAAAGACTGTAGAGCTGGGGCTGCCTGATCACGGGGATACAGACTAGAGCTGGGGCTGCCTGATCCTTGGGGTAGAGACTGTAGGGCAGGGACTGCCTGACCCTGGGGATAGAGACTGTAGCTCTGCCAGACCCCAGGGGTAGAAACTGTATGGTTGGGGCTGCCTGACTCCAGGAGTAAAGACTATAGAGCTGGGGCTGCCTGATCCTGGGGATACAGACTTTGCCAGACCCTAGGGGTAGAGACTAGGGCTTGGGCTGTCTGACTGGGGGTAGAGACTGTAGCTCTGCCTGACACTGGGGGTAGAGACTGTAGCTCTGCCTGATCCTGGGGATGGAGAATGTAGTGCTGGGGCTGCCTGACTTTGGGGGTAGAGACTGTAGCTCTGCCTGACCCTGGGAATAGAAACTGTAGGGCTTTGGTTGCCTGACTCTTGAGGGGCTGAGCGAATGCTTTAGTCACTTGGCTACCCATTCACTCAAACCATTTTAGTAATAGCAAAACCATAAGTAATGACAATGATGGCAGCCTTTGTCATTGTCTATTGTATGTGGCATTTCAATAAGGGACCCCCATAATTGAGTGTATAAGTGCCCCCGGGTTCTAAATATGTGGAATAAGGTAGGTCTGCATTGAGTTCAACAATCACTGATGCTCTACTTCATTGACAGTGACAAAATAAAACAGTAGAAGATATCTATTGATAGCCATTCAACTTAAAGAGCGTTACTGTTGGTCGCATCCAAATAGACACAAAGATTTATTTGTATGGTGCTTTGAACATTTAATAGTGTTGATGAATAGCTCCCCTGTCATGAACGCGGGGATTGTAATGTTGGTTACTTCATTGCGGATGAAGAAAACAGCAGCCGTCTCCTATCACTGTTGTTCAGTCGTGCGTGCCGTGTCGTATGCGGGCTCCCTGATTACGGGTATGACACCCGCTCGAGCGTGGTGCGTAGAGCGAGCCCTGACAATAAGGTGAGCAAGCGGCACATAGGTAATTGCCAGCATGCCTGAGCTGATCAGCCGCTGCAGCAGGCTTTGTTTGGGCTGCTGTAGACTTAAACACAGTTTTCTTATTGTCAGAATAAATTGAATCTTTCATGTCCTGTTTGAATAATCCTCGAGAAATGATCATCTATTGCTGGGAGATGATGTTCTGTTGAGACTGAGAGAGGCTCTGTTGGGGTGGGCCTCTGTCTAGGCTCTGCATCTTCTGAATTAATTATCCTCTCTAGCTTGTATTATTGCATTACATGTAAGTATGATATATCAGTTTTGTTTCAATGAAGATGTGAATAAGAAGGGAATTTACAAATGTGAAAATTGGTTTCTGATCAGTGAGTGATATTGTTTATCACGCATCAGCAACTTTGAGTTCTGAAAACTGAGTTAGCTAGTTTTGAGTTGTTTAGTATTAGAGGGTTAATCATGCTGAAAAAAGATACTGTTAGGATAATTGTTTTGCTCCAAGTTGTGTATGTAGTAGTGTGCTGTGTGGGGTAAATCTCTAGTTTGTGTGGGTTGAATGTATGTCATGTACTTTTGCTGGCCCTCTGACTGATCATATTGATATAGGTAGATCAGTGTACCCGGGATGAAGCGCAAAGCCGTATATGGTGTGTTTGACTGTGGATGTGGGTGCGGGTAGCTGCTCAGCTGACACAGATCGGGGGGAAGGGGAGGGGAGGGGGGAGATCGCGGTGTGCGGGTATTGATACGCTTGCTGTTGGGGATGTTCCTGTATTCTGAACAGGCTGCTGAACCAATTATAATCACTGGGACAAACACACAGTGAAAGGCTGAAATCTTCTGCATGCTTAGCCAGGTCCATTCAGTGTACAAGGTGTTTGAACAATCCTGAGAATGTGATCAGCTCGGTGAAGTAGACATAGTCTACTGTGAGGGTCTGCACGGGTGGGTGCTCACAAACTGTGGAATAGTCCACTGTGAGGGTCTGCATGGGTGGGTGGTCACCACACTGTGGAATAGTCCAGTGAGGGTCTGCACGGGTGGGTGGTCACCACACAGTTACTTATTCCACTGTGAGGGTCTGCACGGGTGGGTGGTCACCACACTGTTACATATTCCACTGTGAGGGTCTGCATGGGTGGGTGCTCACAAACTGTGGAATAGTCCACTGTGAGGGTCTGCACGGGTGGGTGGTAACCACACTGTTACATATTCCACTGTGAGGGTCTGCACGGGTGGGTGGTAACCACACTGTTGCATAGGGTCTGCATGGGTGGGTGCTCACAAACTGTGGAATAGTCCACTGTGAGGGTCTGCAGGGGTGGGTGGTCTAAAAAATCTGGCATAGTCCTTTATGGGGGTCTGCATGGGTGGATGGTCTCAAAACTGTGACATAATCCACTGTGAAGGTCTGCATTGGTGGGTGCTCACAAACTGTAGCCTTGTCTGTCGTGAGGGTCTGCATGGGTTTGGTGGTCACCATAACCTCAGCAAGGTCCACTGTGAGGGTCTGTATGGGTTAGTGATCACCAGCATAGTCTGCTGTGAGGGTCTGTATGTGTGGGTATTCACCAAAACTGAAGTATCGCCTATTGTAAGAGGCGACTTAATGAATCGGGTAGTCAGCCTTGTCAATCATTGCATATTTAGTCCAAACTTGATGATTTACAGACTGCTGTTATAAAACTGGAATATTGCTGAGTGCAGCGTTAAACAAACAAAAACAATAACAGAGGCCTGCATGGAGTGATGGTTAAAAAACTGGCATAGCCTACTGTAAGGGTGGATGGTCACCAAAACTGTAGCATAGCCTTCTGTGAGGGTCTGCACGGATGGATAGAGCACCTACCATCTCTATTTTGGGAGTTTAACACGGTTGGGGAACCTTAAATTGACTGTGTCAGAGTTCTGACTTCAACTGAGGTTCCACATGACTGGGTTATCTCCAGAGGACATGCTCTGCTGTGAGGGTCTACATGGCTGGGTGTGTGCACAAGAATGACGGTTGTTGTTTTTGTCTGAGTTTATTCAGTTTGTGGAATGTTGTTATGATATCAAGGCATAACGTGCTCCTGTCATTCTGTTGTAGAAGTGACAATCAAGCAGCTGAAGGAACGTTTGAAGGATCATGAAGAGAGATTGGAGTCCACAGCTGAAGTAAGTAATTTAAGCCCGAAAGTACATGCGACCCGTGAAGATTCTGGGGTAGAATAGGTCTTCAGCAACCCATGCTTGCCGTAAAACCTGACTATGACTGTAAAGGGGATGTTCCAGTTAAAAAGTTACTCTACAGACTTGAAAAAAATAAAATATTTCGGTTTATGCTTTGTGTGGAGTGTTCCACAAAGTTTATTTCCTTGTGGTACTATCAAAAGCATTGCCATTATCCTCAAGCGAAAATGTAAACGTGTCTCTAATACACAGGAAGAATCTCTTATTTTTATTGTGGTTTTCATAAGATTATTGGGTTTATAAGCATGGAGCATAATTCAAAACCAGTCATCGTATGTAGAACAATTTCATTTTCATTCTGTCGTGTATTCCAAAGTTTAGTAACATGATTTGACCTTTCAGTTTCACCTTTTTCTCTCCCGGCATGAAACTTGGTTGTGAAGATTGTCCAACGTTTTTGACAATACTGTTGAATTTGTCTCTATGTGAAAAGAAAGAGAGTATTGTTTAGGATCATTTTAGATGTCAAAGTTGTAATGACCAAAGACTTTCCTGTAAGCTGTGCCACAACCAACTGTTCTACTAGGGTAACACAACTAATGGGCGCACTTGGACAGTGGCAAATAGTAGACGACTATCTAGGAGACATCAGGCATGCCTGTTATGAAATAATACCGTCCTACAAAAGGATTTGGTGAAATATTTTGGATATTTTAACATACATTTATTCAATCTTAACATTAAGTGCAGTCTGAAACATGCAATTGAATTTGCAAAGATTTACATTTAAATAAACTATGTCAAAATATATGGATACTAAAGATTTCCAATCATTGAGATCCTTGCAGGTGAAGTAGCGTGGTTAAGGCATTGGCTGGGTTTGATTCCACACATTGGTACAAAGAAGGATTCTCAGCCCATTTCTGGTGTCCCTGCACTGATAGGGCTGACATAATGTTAAATTATTGATACACAACATCTGTTCCATAAGTTGGCAATAGCACCATGCATTGATAGGCACTTAATCAGTACCATTTGTTGGTAGGCTATTAAAGTCCAAAATTAAGCATGAAAGTCAAAGAGTCCTTGTCATAGCCCTTTTGAATGTTAAGAGGTAAAGGTTTGTGGGTCCCTAGGTTCGCATAACATGGGAGCAAACCTCAAGGTCCCAAATGACCCCCCTTATCACTGCTATGCATTCATGGGGTATAAACAAAGAATTGTTGAAAGTCAGTAATTTATTATTAAACATTGATAGAAATAGATCAGTATTACTGAAAGACACTCAATGATTCAGTACCATGCATGGATAGAGAATAGATGAGTATGACAATGATTCACTACCATGCATGGATAGACAATACATGAGTACGACAATGATTCAGTACCGTGCATAGATAGACAAAAGATGAATATGACAATGATTCAGTACCATGCATAGATAAACAATACATGAATATGACAATGATTCAGTACACTGCATAGATAGACAATAGATGAGTAGGACAATGATTCAGTACCCTGCATAGATAGACAATACATGAGTATGACAATGATTCAGTACCGTGCATAGATAGACAATTGATGAGTATGACAATGATTCAGTACCATGCATGGATAGACAATACATGAGTATGACAATGATTCAGTACCATGCATGGATAGACAATACATGAGTATGACAATGATTCAGTACCTTGCATAGATAGACAATAGATGAGTATGACAATGATTCAGTACCATGCATGGATAGACAATAGATGAATATGACAATGATTCAGTACCATGCATGGATTGACAGTACATGAGAATGACAATGATTCAGTACCATGCATAGATAGACAATACATGAGTATGATAATGATTCTTTACCATGTATAGATAGACAGTAGATGAATATGGCCATTTTTAGTACCATGCATGGGTAGACAATACATGAGTATGACAATGATTCAGTACCTTACATAGATAGACAATACATGAGTATGACAATGATTCAGTACCATGCATAGATAGACAATAGATGAATATGACAATGATTCAGTACCATGCATAGAAAGACAATACATGAGTATGACAATGATTCAGTACCATACATGGATAGACAATAGATGAATATGACAATGATTCAGTACCATGCATAGAAAGACAATACATGAGTTTGACAATGATTCAGTAGCATACATGGATAGACAATACATGAGTATGACAATGATTCAGTACCATGCATAGATAGACAATACATGAGTATGACAATGATTCAGTACCATACATGGATAGACAATACATGAGTATGACAATGATTCAGTACCATACATAGATAGACAATGCATGAGTATGACAATGATTCAGTAGCATGCATAGATAGACAATAGATGAATATGACAATGATTCACTACCATGCATAGAAAGACAATACATGAGTATGACGATTCAGTACCGTGTATAGATAGACAATAGATGAATATGACAATGATTCAGTACCATGCATAGAAAGACAATACATGAGTATGACAATGATTCAGTACCATACATGGATAGACAATACATGAGTATGACAATGAATCAGTACCATGCATAGATAGACAATACATGAGTATGACAATGATTCAGTACCATACATGGATAGACAATACATGAGTATGACAATGATTCAGTACCATGCATAGATAGACAATACATGAGTATGACAATGATTCAGTAGCATGCATGGATAGACAATAGATGAATATGACAATGATTCAGTACCATGCATAGATAGACAATAATTCAAAATGACAATGATTCAGTGCCATGCATAGATAGACAATAGATGAATATGACAATGATTCAGTACCATGCATAGATACAATACATGAGTATGACAATGATTCAGTACCGTGCACAGATAGACAATAGATGAGTATGACAATGATTCAGTACCATGCACAGATAGACAATACATGAGTATGACAATTATTCAGTACCATGCATAGATAGACAATACATGAGTATGACAATGATTCAGTACCATGCATAGATAGACAATACATGAGTATGACAATGATTCAGTACCATACATGGATAGACAATACATGAATATGACAATGATTCAGTACCATACATTAATAGACAATAGCAGAATATGACAATGATTCAGTACCATGCATAGATAGACAATACATGAGTATGACAATGATTCAGTACCATACATGGATAGACAATACATGAGTATGACAATGATTCAGTACCCTGCATAGATAGACAATACATGAGTATGACAATGATTCAGTACCATGCATAGATAGACAATAATTCAAAATGACAATGATTCAGTGCCATGCATAGATAGACAATAGATGAATATGACAATGATTCAGTACCATGCATAGATACAATACATGAGTATGACAATGATTCAGTACCGTGCACAGATAGACAATAGATGAGTATGACAATGATTCAGTACCATGCACAGATAGACAATACATGAGTATGACAATGATTCAGTACCATGCATAGATAGACAATACATGAGTATGACAATGATTCAGTACCATGCATAGATAGACAATACATGAGTATGACAATGATTCAGTACCATACATGGATAGACAATACATGAATATGACAATGATTCAGTACCATACATTAATAGACAATAGCAGAATATGACAATGATTCAGTACCATACATGGATAGACAATACATGAGTATGACAATGATTCAGTACCATGCATAGATAGACAATACATGAGTATGACAATGATTCAGTACCATACATGGATAGACAATACATGAGTATGACAATGATTCAGTACCCTGCATAGATAGACAATACATGAGTATGACAATGATTCAGTAGCATGCATGGATAGACAATAGATGAATATGACAATGATTCAGTACCATGCATAGTTACAATACATGAGTATGACAATGATTCAGTACCGTGCATAGATAGACAATACATGAGTATGACAATGATTCAGTACTGTGCATAGATAGACAATAGATGAGTATGACAATGATTCAGTACCATGCACAGATAGACAATACATGAGTATGACAATGATTCAGTACCATGCATAGATAGACAATACATGAGTATGACAATGATTCAGTACCATGCATAGATAGACAATAGATGAATATGACAATTATTCAGTACCATGCATAGAAAGACAATAATTCAAAATGACAATGATTCTTTACCATGTATAGATAGACAGTAGATGAATATGACAATGATTCAGTACCATGCATAGATAGACAATAAATGAGTATGGCAATGATTCAGTATCATGCATGGATAGACAATACATGAGTATGACAATGATTCAGTACCATACATTAATAGACAATAGCAGAATATGACAATGATTCAGTACCATACATGGATAGACAATACATGAGTATGACAATGATTCAGTACCATGCATAGATAGACAATAGATGAGTATGACAATGATTCAGTACCATACATGGATAGACAATAGATGAGTAGTACAATGATTCAGTACCATGCATGGATAGACAATAATTCAAAATGACAATGATTCAATACCATTGATGAATAACAGCAATAGTTGTTTAATTATGTGATATTAAGTTCTAATATTTGAAAATCTCACAAGCAAGTTCTTGTATGCATGTGACACCACTGTCTGAGTGTTAGTCACAGTGCCATGTTGAATGCTGACCACATCATCAAGCTAGGAGTAGGAGTATGAGACTGAAGCAGTCTGTAACACTATTAGAGGTGATGATGATGATGGTGATGGTGTTGTTCAGGCAGCAGCAGCAGGGGACGAGGAATCACTAAGTCGCCAGCTCTCAGTGTTATCTCTCCAGAAGTATGGTTAGCTGACTTCTTCCAAACTTTTAACCCCTACATGTCACTGCAGTACTTTCAAATCAATTTGAGTGATTTTTGCAAAGCGTCCCTCCGATTCCAATTAATTCTGCCCGTCCTCCAGGGAGGCGTCCTCTATGTAAGAGTTATCAAAATGATGACCCAAAAGGACCTAGACACATTTATGATGTTAAAATCAGTCAAAGAATCATTTTTGACAATTACAAGCAAAGTTACGGAACCATTCTCCGATGATTTGAGCTCATCTCTTCCTTTCACGGCAACAATAACTCGACAATAAGAATGGGAGAGCACAATACCCAGGAGGAGGCATCTCAAAATGAATGATCTGGAATGTTTTCCTGAGCTCGGACATGAAGTTCTGGATGAGCATGATCAGTGGAAGTATTGCTCCACGCTCTGCTGAGTCGATAGAAATGGAGACGTGAAAGAGCTCTGTGACTGCGATTGGCTCTGTAGGGCTATCATTTGATTAAAACCCATGGCCACATCTCCCCTCTACTGATTCACTTGTTGGCTCCAATGGCCGAGAATCAATTTACGTGATTGCGATGAGCCTGTGTGGTGAGCTAGGATTGGACAGCAGACTGGCCACGCCTCATTGACTCCGCCACCAAGTGACCAGATAGAGGGATGCAGTGATCGGATGGTGATCAGCTCTCATCGGAACATCCCACCCCGGAGACAGCCGCTATTTTCACATATGCAGCACAACCACCAAACAATCATTATTCAAACTTTTTAAACTTTTGGTTCATTTTATGGAATGATCATATAAGTTCAACCTGTTTGATGTATGGTGTTCACTTCAGAAGTTTGACTTAATCCAACCTTTTTTACTAGATTGTCGATCAAATATGCCCTCATGAATGTAAGTTCAATGGTACATTCTTTAATTTGGTATATTTAGCCCAATATAAATAGCGAAATAGTGATACATTATAAATAGCAAATGAATGATTTAGTATATACAGCAAAGTATTGATTCAGTATATATAGCAAAGTATTGATTGATTCACTACAAAAAGCAAAATATGAATTCAGTGTACACAGGAAAATTTTGATTTATCTTATTTGTCTTTTGAAAAATACTCTCAAAAACACTTGAATTTTTTTAGATTGAAACATTAAAATGTTGAGGTATTTGATTTTACCTTCCTATGCTTTCTAATAAAATGTCTGAATGTTGACAGGATGGGCTTCAAGGTAGACAAACACCTGCTTCTGGCAAAATTTTGATATTGAAATATTTTGTATTGTTAATATTCATCACATGTTTCTGAAATAAAAATGACACAAACTTAATTTATGGTAATGATCATCCAACTGGAATTTGAATCAAATGGTGGTGATGTACGTCAATGATGTAAACCCCAGGAGTCGTCCTGATGAGTAGCGAGCTGGGAGCTAGGCCAGTTTGACAGTGTTAACCTCCCATTGACCACCAAGACAATCTCTTAAACTGTCCCATGACAGAGGAGAATGTCTTCATATTGAAAACAATTATGAGAAGTTGCAAGACAGGGGTACTGTAGCCTAGCTGTGGTGAGCGTCACAGCTGAGCGACCACGACGACAAGTGTGTCTGTCTGTAGAGGCGGTGTGATTCCATCAAAGTGTGATTTGTGCTGTGCTCTGTACTCCGATCACATGAACATCAGCTTACTGAACATGGAGGTCCTCCTCATCCCTCCCTACCCAGCAGGTCCATGGACTGCTCGGCCCGACACCCATCGGGGGCACTTAGATCAATCATGTACGATCCATGTGACAGAATGGGATCACTAGCGATGACCTGTGCTCACTGCATACACAGATATACATACACATATCCCATCCTAGATTTCATTGTTATTTATTACCTATCAGCGTACCTGACTTGTACAGATTGCTGGGCTCGGCGACAGTTTCCCCTCTTGCTGATTGGGACAGCTCTGTATCACATTGCTCTTGCTGATGTAGGCAACCTTTCTAACATGGAGCCATTCCTTCGACTTTCAGAACAGGGCCAAAGAAAAAGAACGGGAACTTCAAAGAATTTTTGCCGAAAAGGAACGCCAACTACAAGAAACTCAGTTGTCTGTGGCCAAGAAACTCGGAGAGGCGGAGCAAAAGATCACAAACTTACATTCAGGTAGGTTTCTAATAAGTGTATGCACAGGTAAATGTAGATGTATTTCAGTGTCATGTTGGTTGTCTGAATGTGTCCGTGTTTATGTGTGTGCTTATGTTGATGTGTGATACTGTCAGTGTACCTCTTTGTTTATGTGTGTTTGCAGGCGGATGTGTGATGGTGTTGTGTGTGTGTGTGTGTGTACGATGGTGTCTGTGTGTTTATGCATTTACATATGTGTATGTGTGATGGTGTTTGTGTTTATGCGTGTATGTTTGATGGTGTCTGTGTTTATGCGTATATGTTTGATGGTGTCTGTGTTTATGCATGTATGACTGTGTATGTGTGATGGTGTCTGTGTTTATGCATGTATGACTGTGGATGTGTGATGGTATCTGTGTTTATGCATTTATGTATGTGGATGTGTGATGGTGTCTCTGTTTATGCATATATATGTATGTGGATGTGTGATGGTGTCTGTGTGTTTATGCAAGTATATGTGTGGATGTGTGATGGTGTCTGTGTTTATGCATGTATGTATGTGGATGTGTGATGGTTTATCTTGTTTTAGGGATGACAGTGTCTGATAATATATTTGTGTATGTCGATGAGAGTGTCAGCCTTGTTTTGGGGATGGCAGTGTCTGATATTGTATTTGTGTCTGCAAGTGAGCTTGTTTGTCTTGTTTTAGGGATGACAGTGTTGATGTCTACTGGTCAGGGAGTGTCATATGCCATTGGCACTTGACAGGATTATTGTTCTTTGTGAGAAACTGAACTTGATATTAACGTCACAGACATTTCAAGAATGGGACAACAATTTGAGAGATGAGCTCAGAGCACCACATTTCCGTGACATAACAGGGATTGACCTGCTCAGATGGCCCAACATCTTCATCAAACTTCAGTTCAAATTCCCAAGTTGAAATGAATACTTTCCCAATTCATATTATGATAGTTAGGACTAATGATATGACTTTGTTGATGTCACTTGTATTTCAGTGATAACACTAACAGTAGCAATGAATAAGAGCTTTAGTGTTTAGAGGGGCACGGGTGGCCCAGTCGTCTAAGGTGACGCAATTCGCTGTGCAGAGTTGCGTCCCTTGGGCACGCCAGAAACCTATGATCGTGGGTTCGAATCCCGGTTCGCCCCGATTATGTTTCTAGGTTTGTCAGCACCATACCCGTGCTCGTGGGTTTCATCCAAGTGGTTAATGTCTAAGACCTGCATCACTTCGGGCTTTCCTCCCACATTAAGCTGACACGCCGTGATATAACTGGAATACTGTTAAAAAGTGGCGTTAAACCCAACTCACTCACTCATTTAGTGTTTAGACTTGAAGTAGTGCACTTAATGCAGTGGTGAGCAAAAACACCTGAATTTAATGAAATCTGAAAAAAATCAGATTTTTAAGAAATAAAATGTTTTTGCCAATTAACCTTCAGGGGCACTTTTTTTTTATCTTGGATGAATCCCTGCATTACCTGTACGCTACCGGCACTCATTCCTGGGACTTCCATGATCAGTGTGTTCACAGCATTTCAGTTCTGTACGGCCATATTGCTGGGGATAGTTGACAAATGACACATCCCAGATTTAGTTAATATTCACCCATCATTTGGGGTGGAAAGGTTACTGAATCATGCATATTCTCAACACGTTATGTAAGTCACAATCAAGTTTGATTTGAGCGCTCAGTTCATTGGATGAATGTCATTCATCATCCTGTGTCAACTCGTTTATCAGTGACGTGTACAATTCATTACCTCTGTTGTTTATTGTGAACAGTTTAGGGAGGGATGGAGATTAATGCAGAAACCTCATCTGGTGACATCACTTGATGGCTGTTTGTGAAATCAGTTGTGACATCACAGGATGGCTGTTTCTGAAATCAGTTGCAGCAATAGGAACTAACAGTTTTAGTGCACTAGTCCTTATAATGATAACATTTAGCAAAACCCTTAAAAATGGCAAATTTCTACTCGTCCTGATGATACCTCATCTATTGGGCAGTTTGGACTATAGGACTAGTGCCAGTTTCTACCGCTGAGTTGTCATCACTTGTTGGCTGTTTGTGATATCAGTTGTGACATCACCGGATGGCTGTTTCTGAAATCAGTTGCAGCAATAGGAACTAACAGTTTTAGTGCACTAGTCCTTATAATGATAACATTAAGCAAAACCCTTAAAAATGGCAAATTTCTACTAGTCCTGATGATACCTTACCTATTGGGCAGTTTGGACTATAGGACTAGTGCCAGTTTCTACCGCTGAGTTGTCATCACTTGATGGCTGTTTGTGAAATCAGTTGTGATGTCCATTGGCAGCTTTTGTCAGTTGTGACATATCATGAAGGACATTGTTGTTGTCAGTCATTACATCTCTTCTATGGCTGTTTCTGAAATCAGTTGTGACATTACTTGATGGAATTACAGGTTAGAACAGGTACCGAGCAACCCATGCTGGCCCTAGGAGGCGACCAGATGGATCAGGTGACCAGGCGCGGTGACTTGGTTAATTGCGTGTCGTACCCCAAAGGTGTGGATCGTTGCTCACAATAATGATCACTAGATTATCTGGTCTAGACTCGATTATTTACAGGCGGTCAGAATATTGCTGAGAGTCAAACATTAAACAAACAAGCTATTAATAAAATTCAGTGTTGTGAACGACAACCATTTGTAAGTAGTAGTCTTGTGAGAAAAGCATGCATAAGCTCCCAACTGATGTTAACGCTTTGTCATTTTACGGTATTTAATCTGTGTATTCCTTTATTTGGAGACACAGTTTGGAATTACACCTAGACAATGAAAGTAATACAAATCAATTAACTTGAAACATTTATGTATGGTGTAGAGGGTGTGGTAACAAGTACATTCATTATTTTATGATGTGTACTATTGGTAATGATTGGTTAGAAGTTCACAGACGGGCAATGATTTGTATTCAAGGTGGGACATCATCCTGTTAGCCTCCCTTGAATAGCAATAAGCATTGATCACATTCATCACCCTAACTGCCAAGCACTGCATCATCCACTGGACCAACACAGCCATGTTAAACTTGTGACAGGACCCAGTTTCATGAAAGTGGTCCATCTCCAACACATGTGTTTGGGATAGCCAATGTTTTGAGATCACTTTGTAAGGGACAACCTGGTCTATCGAAGCTACTATACATGGTGAGGGTTGGTTAGGTTTTGTGTTGAGTTTTGTTAGCGTGTCTATGTCTAGAGCATGGCAGCCCCTATAAGGAGTATGTCAGCCCCTATGAGGGGTATGTCGGCTCTATGCAGTAAGGATGCAGTTTGGTAGCCCCTATGAGTAGTGTCATCCCTATGAGGAGTATGTCTCCCCTATAAGGAGTATGTCTTCCCTATGAGGAGTATGTCAGCCCTATGAGGAGTATGTCTCCCCTATAAGGAGTATGTCAGCCCTATGAGGAGTACGTCAGCCTGTATGAGGAGTATGTCTCCCCTATAAGGGGTATGTCTCCCCTATAAGGAGTATGTCAGCCCTATAAGGAGTATGTCTCCCCTATAAGGAGTATGTCAGCCCTATGAAGAGTACGTCAGCCTGTATGAGGAGTATGTCGGCTCTATGCAGTAAGGATGCAGTTTGGTAGCCCCTATAAGGAGTATGTCATCCCCTATCAGCAGTAAGAATGCATTTTGGGATCCCCTATGAGTAGTGTCATCCCTATGAGGAGTATGTCTCCCCTATAAGGAGTATGTCTCCCCTATAAGGAGTATGTCAGCCCTATAAGGAGTATGTCTCCCCTATAAGGAGTATGTCAGCCCTATGAAGAGTACGTCAGCCTGTATGAGGAGTATGTCTCCCCTATAAGGAGTATGTCTCCCCTATAAGGAGTATGTTTCCCTATAAGGAGAATGTCAGCCCTATAAGGAGTATGTCTCCCCTATAAAGAGTATGTCAGCCCTATGAGGAGTACGTCAGCCTGTATGAGGAGTATGTCTCCCCTATAAGGGGTATGTCTCCCCTATAAGGAGTATGTCTCCCCTATAAAGAGTATGTCAGCCCTATGAGGAGTATGTCACCTCTATCACCAGCAAGGATGCAGTTTGGTAGCCCCTATGAGGAGTATGTCAGCCCCTATGAGGAATATGTCAGCCTCTAGACACTCTCTATCAGGAGTATACAGCCTATGTTAAAACAATGGCATGTTAGTCCCTATCAGGAGTATGCAAGAGCCTATATGAGTATTATGAAAACCTCCATGAAAAGTGCAACAGCCTCTTTGAGGAAATTTGCCAGCCCCACATTAGGAATACTCCAGCCCCTATCATGAGTATGGCACCCAAAATAAGGAATATGCAGGACTCCATGAGGAGTATGATAACCATGATAACCTTGATTCCCCAGTCGCCAGTTTGTTGGAATGAAGCTTGAGGTCAATATGATGTGTGTTGATATGATGATACCTGTATTGATGGGCTGATTTTCTTATCCAGCTGTTGCCATCAGTTGATTCCAAATGTGGTCGAATTCTCATCAATAATATTAATAACTCTCCAACAATGGTGCATGCAGCCCAGTGTAGGTTATATTCATTTACATATAGATACATTGAAGTTGACTTTTCTCTTGCAATGTGATTAGTGTTCCTAAGAATTTGACTATAGGTGATATTTTATGAACAGATGTGGACTGGTTGGCATTCTGTATTTTGTCATTATGATGTAGAGGTTTTGTCATGGATCACGCTGACATTACTATTTTGGGTTGTCTTCCTGAATCGTTGCACATCATTTACCATTCACAAGATGTTGTAGTCATCACCAACATTGATTACAATGAAAGACTTTGAGTGTCTCTTGATTACAATACAACAGCAGAAATGTAACATTGTATCATGAGTGACAGTGCATTGGGTGCAACGTTGTATTGGGCACAGTAACAATGCATTAAGTTCGTTTTGGTTCGTTTGTTGTTTTACGCCACACTCAGGAATATTCCAGCTATATGACGGCTGTCTGTAAATAATCGAGTCTGGACCAG